GCGGTGAAGAACAAGTGGAAATCGGGGTTTGTCTTGGTTTGTCTTGGTTTGTCCAACAAGTGCGGAAAAATGTTGCTGATGGTGTTGATGATCGAAGGAAGTTTAGAAGTCAAACTTCCGACAATATGGACAGATGAAAAGCAGAGATGGGAAGAGTCAGAGAAGAGAAGAGAAGAAGAGAAGAAGAAAGAAGATCAGAGAAGAGAAAGAGTCAGAAGAAAGAAGACGCAGGTGCGCGAAAAGGTAGGAAAGTCGCGAAACACTGTGTTTTTCCAATGATTTGTGGCTCCGGAGGGTCGAAAAGTAGGCTCGCTAAAGCGGCGGGTGCGGAGCCATTTGGGCAGATGAGAGATGAAAAATTGCATGCCGTTGTGGTGCGAAGCATATTTCCAAGTCAAAATGTACAAAGCACACCCACCCTGCACTTTTGGAAGTTGAGATGTCAAAAAAGTGCACGCCGTTGTGGCGCGAAGCACATTTTCCAGTCAAAATGTACAAAGCACACCATTCCCAGACCACTTTTGGAAGTTGACATGTCGAAAAAGTGCACGCTGTTCTCGCGAACCAGATTTCCAAGTCAAAATGTACAAAGCACACCATTCCCGGACCACGTTTGGAAGTTGACATGTCGAAAAAGTGCACGCCGTTGTGGCGCGAAGCACATTTCGAAGTCAAAATGTTAAAAGCACCACATGCTCGGACTACTTTTGAAGGTTCAGATGTGGTTTTGCATGGCAGGCGCAAGGGATTCTGCACCTTGCCAAAAGTGAGCAAAGCGTGAGGGTTTTGGAGCAGTTCCTAAAACGATGGCAGGCATGGGACATTTGAAGAGGATCTGCAAAGATGCATTTTCCGTGGCAGGCGCAGTACAAGAGACATGTTCATCAGACCGAGATGTTAGGAGGTCAGGGTGCTGATTTCCTGAGAGGGGTTGCATTTTGGAGTATCAGATCTTCAGGTTTGCTAAGATGATTTTGCGTGACAGGTGCAGCACTTCGTCTGACCTGGCATCACTTTTGCGTGGCAAGCGCAGCACTTTAGACAGATGGAGTGGAAAATCGCAAAACGCACTGGTACGAGGCCGTCAGCTCTGCACTCAACTTTCCATTTTTGAAGGGGGTCTCGCAGAATTGCTTCGTTTTTGATGTTGCCAACTTCAAAATTCAAAAAGTCTCGCAGAATTGCTTCGTTTTTGACGTTGTCAAGTTGAAACATTGAGGAAATCTCGCAGAATAGCTTCGTTTTCAAGCTTGCAGATAGACAGAGAGATAGATAGACAACTGCAACTACAACTACACTACTACTACAACTACAAATACAAATGCGTGTGCAAATATGCCACGCTACATTACACTACACGGATTACATTACGCTACGCGGATTACACTACGCTAATTTACAGTACACTGCACGAACTACATTACAACTACAACTGCTACTACAACTGCAGCTACACCTTCAACTACAACTACACTACATCACACTACACTACAGTACACTACACTAATTGCCCCACACTACAGCACACCACAGCTACAGCTACAGCTACAACTACGCTACATTACACAACAGTACAGCTACAAGTGCAACTACAACTACACCATGCTACACTACACTACACTACAACTACAACGGCAGCTACAACTCCAACTACACTACTTTACGCTACACTACACTAGGCTACACCACACTATATTAGACTACAGTTCACAACACTACAGTACACTACACTACGCTGCAGCACATTACACTACACTAATTACACCACACCACAACTACAACTGCAACTGCAATTACAACTACACACACACACACTAATTACACCACACTACAGCTACAAATCCACTACCCTACGCTACAACTACAACTACAACTACAACTGCGCTACACCACACTGCATCAAGCAGTTGTGGGTGAGGTGACCACTGCAACCATTGCAGCCACTTCAAAAAACACAACTCCAACCACCTTTCGGTCCATCAGTGGATTCGCTCTGCCAGTCGTGATTCACAACAACGAACCTCTCCTATAGGTTTCCTATTTTTGAAACTTCCGCCACCGCCTTGTGCGGTACTACCGGGAATGGTGATGATGAACATCAACACTAAATCCTGAACCCCAAACCCTGAACCTCACACCCTAATAGCGTCATTGTATTGTTCCATGTCTAGGACATGTCAAACACTGTAGTGTAACTTGTTTATTAGGGCTTGGGCAAACCTCGGGATCTGTTTGTGATATTACGTACAGTGCCACCTTAGTAATCTCGGTTCGGATTGGATTTATCGATTTTGGCGTCCCTTCGTTGTGCTAAATTTTCATATTCGGGGAGATGGGTTTGTAATGTCAACCCTGTATTAATAAACCCCAAACGGATCCAAACGGCTGTTTAATTGGGAGGGTACCATTTAAGTATCATAGTATCACTACTTGGAGGGTACCCCCATTATTAATAAACCATGGTAACCATGAATCCGGGGTTGGCATTATGCTGTACCATCCAGCATCCATGGCATGATCAGAATGGGGTATTGTTTGACCCCCTTAACCGTGCAATCCGTGATTCTTTTTGTATGGTATGCTGAAACATGGAGACTGAAACAGGACAAGTGTGCCGATCCGAGCGAACAATAAGTTGCTGTATCAGGTTGGGACACATTGATTTTGTTTTTTTTAACCCTGCTGACATTGCATGAAGTGATTGACTTTGTGGCTGAAAGGACCCCTATCCCATCCCACTTGGGTTTTTGGGTTTTTCATTTTTTTGAGCCACGTTGGGGCCACTATGAGCGCTGCATTGCGTGTGGATTTACAATATCTACGTTTCCTCGACCTAAATGGGTGTCTGAAAATGGTTTGCTTCCCCCATTTATGGTCATCAAATACTCCGGGAAATGATGGAACATGAAACTAAAACCAGTTGATTGAATGGTTATAGATAAATCCAATACATTTCGCCACTGTTTTTTCCATATTCTGAGGATGAACATTTACCCTCTGGTTATTTAATGTAGTTATGGAAGATCGCCACAAAACTGATCGGCAAATCATCATAAATCATGTATAAATGGGCCGTGCTTGCCATAACCATTTTAAATAACCAAAGAGTAACTTGCAGATCTGTGCATATGCCTCAACTTTGACCTTATTGCTGGCCATTTAGCTGTGCGTCGCTGTTCAGTTTTTTTTTCATACCCTGCCGCAGTGAAAAGCAGCAGTGGTATGCACAGGAAAAAAATATGGAGAAGTGACACATGAGCCGTGCCAGACCCCTCGACCCTTCATGGCTGATGATTTTTTACTTGGCAAACACAGTAGCTCATGGTAAAGATGTTTGTAATTTGTGTGTGTTAATATATTGTAAAGAGCCTACACATCAGATGTATAGCTCATTGAGCAAAGGATATTTACCATAGCAAGGCTAAAGATGTTTAATTTGTTCAATCACTCCATGGTTGTAGCGAAGACCCCTGTATTCATCACAGCTTGGAATTGTGTTGCAGGAATGGGCAAATGCTACTGTGCTACCCTCTGGTAAACAAACATAACTATGGAAAATCACAATTTTTAATGGGTAAATCCACGCCATTTTCAATAGCAAACTGTTAGTTTACCAGAGGGTAAATCCCATTAAAATCACAATTTTTGTTCGTTTTTTATCCCATTAAACCACCATTAAACCATGTAAATCCCCGTGTTCCCCCATTGAATTTCGCTGGGTCGACAAAACACGGACATCCCGATCGATGAATTTTCATGATGTCTGATGAATCCAGTCTCCTAATGGTTATGACACCCCCAAATGGTTATGACTATATAACATAGCCATGGTATAGATGGTGTATTTATCATAGAATTGGATGATGGGAAAATTTACAGGAAAACCCTATATTTGATGGTAAAAAACAATGGTTTCCTGTAGATTTTTCCTTAAATGAATCCAATGAATTTATAGATGATTTACCTATTAATAGCATGGTGGATCTTTCCATGGCTATGTAACTTAAATAACCAGATGGTAAACAGCCCCCAAATGGGATTCGAATATGTGTGAATCCTCTACTAAAGAAGTTTTGACACAGGGGGGAATAAACATCCACAGCTGGTGGCCACCAGTTGCTGCAAGAGGCTTCGTTCACAATTTTGGCGATTGCCCCGAAATCTAGAGAAATCTCAAGGTACCAAGAATGGGAATGTTTGCTCACAATAGATGCATTCAAGTGTATTCGGCCGTGTTCATTTAGCCTTACATGTAAAAGCAACAACAAGTCATAACTAATGTTGGTAAAGCAATAATAAGCCCCCCCCAATCATCATTTTTTATGGGTGGTAGAGTAGAAACTATATACACCATCGATCCAGGAATTGGTGGCAACCATGACGGGCTGGCAGGCTCTTTCGCGGGTTCATGTGACACACCCTGGCCATCTTTGGGCCTGCAGTTCTATCACAAACTTTCAGCCCCTACCCTCAAACGATGCCAAGGAAATAGCGGGAAATCAAGAACTGATATGAACTGATGCACCAAAGATATCCGAAGATCATTTGGATTTAGTCAACCATAGTCAACCATAGTCAACCAAATCCTCAGATTGGATCTTGTGACCTCACAATTTTAGGATTTGAATCGAATTGATCTAAAACCTGTTTGATTTAGTGATTTGGTAGGGATAGTCTGTGTTTTCGAGGTGTCTCCAGGTGTAGGAAAAACTCACTTTAGCGAAATTTGAGAGGACTACCGGTCAAGTTGCCCTGGTTTATCTGAAAATTTAGGGGAAAACCCTTTTTATCCATTAGTCAATCATCATTTTCTCCATGACATGGCTTTTCTTTTGGGGGCTATGGCTATATTCCATTTTCAGACAAAATATGTAATCATATATATATATACATTATTAGATCAATACTATTAGATATAATATATATATAGAGTATATTTATACATTATATTTACATGTAGTATAGAAAATATGATGAACCCGTTGACAACCGGAACCGCTATGGCTTCGTCAGGAGTTTGTGAGTTTGCGGGTTGGGAAAAGGGAGTCGGTGATAGGAAAAACACCGCAAAGGGACCTTTGCGAACTTCCATGGATACAATAGGATGAAATGTGTTTTAACCAATATGTATGTATGTATATATATATATATTGTTGATTTGATTATTTTAAATCTACCTAAACATGGTTGTATAAATACATAACAATATAATATAAGTCTCGTAGTTGTTTTTATTGGTGCAATCAATATAAACAGTTTTCTAATATTGGTATAATGTGTCTTAGTTGATGACGATGATTTGTCATACATAGGATTATGTGATCTTTTATGGATCATAATCACTTTGATGTATTGCACTCCATATAATCCATGGTATGATTCAATGATCAACGACATTCATGACATGCGTTTCTCTCTCAGGTTTCACCAGTCACCAGTCACCAGTCATCTCTGACCAGTGGCCAGTTGACTTGGTCAATGACCATGTCAGCATGTCCAAAAGGTGCAAGCGATGGAAGGTACCGGTGAATATCCCTGCTTGATTTCAAGATTTTTGCAATATTATGATATTGATTTACCCTCTGGTAAACATAGACCCTGAAAATCACCCATTTTTAGTGGTGGAAACTAATCTTCCAACCCCTATCTGCCAGGGTCTATGTCAATTTACTGGAGGGTATAATGTCAACTGCGGATTCACAATTCCTGACTCTGAAAATTGGACGGGTTTCCCCCCGAAATTGTGATCACTTACTATTGGAATTGGTTCCCCTTATCAAAAACCTGGGGTCTGATGATCTTCATTTGACTTGATATGGACCAGCAATTTGTGGATATTGTGGATACATGTGGATACATTCAACGTTTTAGCCAAGAGGCCAAGCCAAGACGCCGCTGCAGAAAGCGGATCCTAAAGGTCCCCGATCTTCCGTCCGACCGACGCCGGTGCCGCCACACTTTGTGGCATCCAACCAGGTGCCCGACGATGACTTTGTTTCGGCTTTGCGGAACAAGTCACTGAGAAACGGTTGTGAACAGAGATATGGTGATGGCTTTCCATGTATACAGTGTGTATATATATATTTTTTATCTCATTCATATTTATCTATGAAATATAACATTATATAACATAGGTATATATTTTAGTAACATATTCTTCTTGATCCGTTACAGACAAGACCTAGATGCACATCCATGTTAAGATCAGGTCCGTCCCCCTGGCACGAGAGAGTCTCCACTGATGTTATTTGGGACCCTTGGATGCCACCAATCAACTTTTTGAGTGACGAAATGTCGATCAGAGAGCCCCCGTTGATCTGAACATTTTGAAAGATGGATCAGCAGCCTTTCGTTACCGCCCCTGACATGCCTGATGTGTGCAGGAGGCAAGGGCGGAACGGTAGCGCAACTTGCGCAGCCCAACTTTGCAACTTGCAGTGTGACATGACACTGCCGCTTCAGAGCAAGATAGTCCCAAGGCGAGAAGAAAGCCGAAAAGTGTTTGTGGGTTATATGGGTCAGACTGTTGAAGGGTAGTTGAATCCAACTTAGATTTTGGCTAATTGGTGTTAGCAAAATAATATCAACCACCATTTTTAAAATGGTTATGGCTTTGCTGCTGCTACGTATATCAAATATAATATATAATAATATATATATATATAAACATATTGCTTCAAAACATTGCAAATACCTATATATAAACATTGCAAAAGGGTCGATCATGCTTCAACCCCACACTGAGATTTTTCTTCCACGCACAACATGTTTGGCAGCTGGGCCCATAGTCAACGCTATGTGAGCTTTGGGACTGACAATGGTACCGTGCTTGGACTATTCATACCTGAACCGATGGCGCGAACACCTGGCGCCGTATGCAATTCGTCGCATGACTCGTCTCTTAAAGATCTGGAGTCATGCGATGAAAAGAGGCATGAGCCCGAAGTCGGATGGCTGTAGATGTGTCATGGCTGTTGTGATCCCGTAAAACCGCGCTACCTCGCCCTAACATGTCACCAGGAAGTGTTACCATCATTGTTTTAAGATCCCATACAGGGATTGGGATCCTTCATGCTTGTGAATGTGCTTCAAGCAGCTGGACCTCTGTCTACAACAATTATTTATATATATTTTTATAATATATAATTCTAATCCATCTATCCATCTATCCATCTATCTATCTATCTATCTATCTGTCTGTCTATCTGTCTATCCATCCATCCATCCATCCATCCATCCTTTGATTCCTTGCAATTCAATGGCTGAAAATCACCTCCGTTCGACGGGATGATCAAATGCCCACGGAGCACTCCTTAAGTGGTAAGCCAGGTAAACCATAAATCATCGCCCAATGACTTGCCACTTGAGGGGTTTGATTGCAAGAAACTAGGGCCCCAAAAAAAGGGGTGGCCCTGAGACATTGGGTTTACCACATGATGACCATGGATCAACTATCCCGTGTAATATTCTATGGCAGCTCTACAGTTTGATACCACTGATTTTTGACCAACTGCTGGTCCCACATCCATCCGCAAGCACTGCTACCTCTGCGTGACGCGACGTGTGCGAAGAGATGCGAAGAGCTGGCAGCGAACTTTTTGTGCTGCACTGACGAAATGTCAGTTGCGCCAGACTTAACTTGAGAGAACCCAGACGGCCAAGGCCAATCCAAGGCCCAATTTGTAACTGGCAAGCGTTTCCCCTCTTTCTGGCATAGCATGTTAAGGCATGTTTTGGTTAAGCTTCAAATCTTCTGGATTTTTGCAGGCTGATTTTGCTGGTGAAACGTTGCCATTGGACAAAAATCTTGGCCAGTTCTGGGTTCAAAACTGGATCTGTCACGTTTGAAAAGCGACAGCTCCTACAGAATTTGTGATCCGATGATCAGCACGATGGTCCGATCCGGAGGAGGACGTCAACTCGCCAAATTTCGAGTGTTACAGATACTGACCCCAAGTTTCAGGATTTGTTGAGATTTTGGCGAAAAGAACGCAGAACTTATATAAGGCTTACGATGAAATTCGTTTTTGAATCACTAAGGGATGGTTTTTGTTGACCTCCAAGTTTTTTTTCGCCGTGGCCACATCCGGATGCCGATCCCGGGGCGATCCTGGCGCGCCAGCGGCTCCCTGGCACAGAGAGGTCGGAGACATGGATTTCTTCGAACAAATCTCTGGTGGAAGGCGAGCCAAGGCGAACTTAGAGCAGAATTAGCCCTGGAAATAGAGTTAAAAAGAAGAAGTTGCTGGGGGGAGAGGTTGTGGATGAACATGAACATTGGTATTCAATGTATTCAACATGATGGTTTTTGGAGACTCAAAGGTTGCCGTACCAGGTCGGAAGTTCCAAGTGAACACCATGGCCAAGATTTGCTTGGTTTTCGCACGAAGGAGACCTCACCAGCTCCGGAAAAGATATATCTTTCTCAAATACTGAAGCTACATTCATCATGTATGGTAGAGATATCTCCTTCCAACTGGCTTTTGGTCTATTAGGGATATCTTGCCATGTCTGACACCGGAGAGATGCCCTATGAAATCCCAATAACCCCCATTAAATCCCGATTAATCATCATTTAATCATCATTAAATCCCATTAATCATCATCAAATCATCATTAAATCCCATTATATATATATAATCATCATCAAATCATTATTAATTCCCCATTAATCATCATCCAGACATCATTAAATCATCATTCAATCCCATTAATCATCATCACATCATCTAATCATCATTAAATTCCATTAATAATAATCAAATCATCATGAAATTCCATTAAACCACCATTAAATCACCATTAATCATCATTCAATCATCATTAAATCCCATTAGTCATCATCAAATCATCATCAAATCATCATTAAATCCCATTGAATCACCATTAATCATCCATCCATGTCAAGCTCCACAACCGCAGGTGGAGAAGTCCGAGCTCCCCAAGAAGATGGACGACTTGGTCAGGGATGGGAGCGCGGGAGGTGACCCCGGTGAGCCGTAAAGAAATGGAGATTTTGAAACATGAAACATGTGGATTTACCCTCTGGTAATTTGTTACATAGCTATTGAAAATGGCCATTTATAGTGGATTTTCCCATTGAAAATGGTGATTTTCCATAGCTATGTTAAATTACCAGAGGGTAATTATCAAGATGGTTGAGTTAACTAGCAAAATTGGTGATTTAGCTAGCAAATATGTGGATTTAACTAGCACAATTGGTGCTCTAACTAGCAAACATGGAGATTTATATGAGACAGGTTGATCGATCTAACACATGATGAGGCTTATTGTTGGATCCATCCATATTTAACCATATGTAACCACAATTGAGAATTAAAAAGGTGGATTGGTGGATTGATCAAAACCACTTAATTTTTAGCATCACCATTGAGGATTAAAAGGGATAATAATTCTGTAAGTACTTACTAGGACACAATTTGCATCTATACGTGAGCTCATGTACACACACATTGACTGAGGCATGTTTCCTCAATTTGTGTATCCAAATCGCTCAAATGAATCGTGTAAGGTATGTAAGTCGTTTGTAGCATGGAAAGGGTCCCAGGTGTGGAGAAACACCCATATGTATATATGTATATATGTTTATACATGTCCATAGGCATTAAAACAACAGAGAAATTGATGTATAGAATCACATGTGGAGGTTTCCTAAGTCATGTTTTTTTTCCCCAAATCACCCATGAAAAAATAGGATTTTCCATGAAAACCATCCAGCTCTTGGGGGTACACCCATTGTATGAAACCCCCATATTACATCATATACCTTCTGGTAAACTAACATAGCTGTATAACATAGCTGTAGAAAATCACTATTTTTAGTGGGTAAATCAACTATAATTGGCTATTTTCAATAGCAATGTAACAAATTACTAGAGGGTAACTACAAATTGTGAATGATTTTGCTTGGAGTGGTTTTCATCAAGACCTCTTCCTGGGTAGATCGCCAAAGGGGGCCGGGCATCCCACTCGAAGCCCTGATCTCAGATTACCTTCTTAGCCTCCGGTGTCATCAAACGTGGCTGCGAAATTCCCAACAAAAATGGAGGTGTTGACAGTGTTGATGGGAAAAATCGGAAATTCATCTAAAAATTGGGAATTTTCCATTGCCAAGTTTGATTACCTCCAGGGTATCTGTTGGAGATGATATCTGAAAAATAGGTCAAAAAAAATTGTTCAGATGTTCAGACATTTACTCAGCCCTGATAGTGAAGGTTAGGAGCTCCCCATGGGTTTTCCCATGGCTTTTCCGGTCGAACCTTCGGGACATTTCTGGCGCCAGAGCGAAAGCCAACTCTCCGAGTTTTTGCGGCGCTTTCAGGACGGAAGGATGAAACGATCCCAGAAGTGGTGAAGAATGGGGATTTCATGGGGTTTAATGATGATTAATGGAGATTTAATGGAGATTTAATGGGATTTAATGGAGATTTAATAATCCCGGATTAGAATCCACTGAATGGAATATACCCTCCAGTAATTTGTCACATAACCTTTTGAAAAATCCACCATTTTGAAATAGTGAATTTTCCCATGAAACATGGTGATTTCCCATAGTTTTGTAAAGGTTTACCAGAGGGTAATGGTGGGATATTAACTTAACCAACTTAACAATAGTTATTCATGGGATTTCATGGTGGATAATAGTTCTCAATAACTATGTTAGTCATGGTTATTCATGGTTATTCATGCGGGTTAATGGTGATCAATGATTATTGATTGTTGTGAATGGTTATTAATGGCTATCACTGGTTACTAACCATTCATAATGGTTCCTACTGATTAGTGATAGAAAATGCAACCTCAGCAGCTAAATTGAACCATGGTAATAACATCCCTGCGGATGTTTCTTTTGAAATGCCACTTCTGAATGGGATGAACATCAGCAGGGTTATACGGAGTTTTGATCCGTTTCAAAAAAGGTACCCTCTGGTAATTTTAATGGGAAAATCAACTATTTCTATGGTCCATTTTCAATAGCTATGTAACAAATTACCAGAGGGTAGAGGAACAGCTGAAAATGATCTCGATTTATACCCTCCAAGCAAGCTCCTCGTTTAGTGTGGGTCAAACTATTTGGGACCCAGATTCATCAAAACTTGATAGTCAAACGTGACAAGCAATTGGCAAGTCAGATTTTGTGTATCCCTTTCCCTCCCTTCCCAATGTGTTTGGGACCCTGGGCCCTCGATTATCCCAGTTAGTAGATGGTTCAGTACCCTGTTTCATAATCAATCCCTGGGGTTCATTATCCTATTTGTATACCGATGTCCCAGATTCTTCTTGTGATTGAATTCCCGGCTTTCAAATTTTCCAACTGAAACTGAAAAAACATCCCCAACATCAATCAATAATCAATCTATATGTATATACATATCAAATATATATATATATAAATAATAACATATACATATATAAATGACCTCGACATCGACTGAAACTCCATGCAAAACAAATTGGATTATGCTGAAGCAACGCTGCCCGCGTTGCCAAGCCAGGCAGCTGTGGAGGCTCCGTTGAAATCCTTCTCCAACCACTTGAAACCGGCCCTGGCACGACGGGTGCGCAGCCTGCGCAGCCGGATCGGTGGGTCTTTGGTTAGAGAATATCTGGGCAAATTGTAACGACCTCAGTGTTCTCCCTCACTGGAATCATGGTTAGTAAATGTTAGTAAGAAGGATCATCCCAAAATGGCCTTTAAGGTTAGTGAATTGTTATAATTTGTAACCTTCAAATCTTTAAGAAGATGCAGAACATGGTGAAATCCAACTCTGAAATAGCGGTAAGTTATATTTTTGGAATCCTTGCAGGGCACCAAAAAGGTTTCGACATTGTTATATAATGTGATACTATGTTATACCTCTGTCATACCGTATGTTGTACTGTTGCATACTTGCAAAAAATCCAAGCGCTAGCTCCAGAGCCGAGCTTCCCACACTGGATAGATATGGTTGGGGGATGACAGAAAAAATCGGGGTACTTCTCATAATCTCGGAGCCATCTTTGCTCCTACTGTGGATGGAAGAAATCCTGCACCAGTTGATAGATGGTTTATCCCATTATTTATAGGGTTTCAACTTTCAACCATCCAAGGTGGTGCAGGATTTCTTCCATCCACTGTAGTTGTCCAATGGATTTTTGATCCATTTTGGGTGAAGGAACATGGTGACTTGCATCCACATGGTGACTTGCACAAGCGCATGAAATTCACCAGTGTTTCGAAGGCAGTGAGTGTCCCACTGGGGCAGCGCTATGTTTTCCAGAAGATGTAAAGATCAAAAACAACATTAAACTTAATTATGCGCACACACACACACACTTTACAGTATTTGTTCTATGGATCAGCAATTGCAGTACAGACTCTTAGTACGTCCTTGTGGTCTTTAACGCCATTATTGAATTCAGTCCAAGTGAGATTTCAGGCAGCGAGTGTATCCCGTCTCTATTGATTGCATATACTGTATATATACTGGTTGGTGGCTTGGAACATTTTTTATGTTTCCATATATTGGGAAGAATCATCCCAACGGACTAATATGTTTCAAAGGGGTTGAAACCACCAACCAGTATATACTGTATATATACATATGTATATTTACAGTACACAGTTGTATGATGTTATATGTCCGAGTCCCTCCGGTCTGAAACTTCGAATGGGTTGACCATGAAGTGAAATTAATTATAGAACATACAATGCCCCCCGAGTTAGAATGCCTCACACACAAACTTTGAATGACTCAGTGCCCACATAGCAAAAAATGGTGCCGGGTCTCTGCGAGGCTCGCGACCGTTGTCACTTTCATCAATATAATCATTATTATCTATCATCATCATCATCATCATCATCGTCATCGTCATCGTCATCGTCATCGTCATCATCATCGTCATCGTCATCGTCATCGTCATCACAATCATCATCACCATCATCATCATCATCACCAGCATCATCATCATCATCATCATCATCATCATCATGTTCTTCTTCAGCAGCCTAGCATGACGTATGTGTGCAAGTGCAAGAGAGCGTACAGCAGGGTAGCATGAAGTATGTGTGCAAGTGAAAGAGAGGGGTACAGCAGCATAGTGTGTGCAAGTGCAAGAGAGCGTACAGCAGCGTAGCATGACGTATGTGTGCAAGTGCAAGAGAACGTACAGCAGCGTAGCACAACGTATGTGTCCAAGTGCAAGAGAGCGTACAGCAGCATAGCACGACGTATGTGTGCAAGTGCAAGACGACGTACAGCGGCTTAGGAGGACGTATTTGCGCAAGTGCAAGAGAGCGTACAGCAGCGTAGCACGACGTATATGTGCCAGTGCCAGAGAGCGTAGCGGGACGTATTTGTGCAAGTGCAAGGGGACGTACAGCAGCGTAGCACAACGTATGTGTGCAATTGCAAGAAAGCGTACAGCAGCGTAGCACGACGTATTTGAGCAAGTGCAAGAGAGCGTACAGCAGCGTAGCACGACGTATATGTGCAAGTGCCAGAGAGCGTACAGCGGCGTAGCGGGACGTATTTGTGCAAGTGCAAGAGAACGTACAGCAGAGTAGCACAACTTATGTGTGCAAGTGCAAGAGAGCGTACAGCAGCGTGGCACGACGTATGTGTGCAAGTGCCAGAGAGCATAATAGAGCATACAGCGGCGTAGCAGGACGTATTTGTGCAAGTGCAAGAGAACGTACAGCAGCGTAGCACAACGTATGTGTCCAAGTGCCAGAGAGCGTACAGCGGCGTAGCATGACGTCTGTGTCCAAGTGCAAGAGAGCGTACAGCGGCGTAGCAGGATGTATTTGTGCAAGTGCAAGAGAACGTACAGCAGCGTAGCACAACGTATGTGTCCAAGTGCCAGAGAGCGTACAGCAGCGTAGCAGGACGTATTTGTGCAAGTGCAAGAGAACGTACAGCAGCGTAGCACAACGTATGTGTCCAAGTGCCAGAGAGCGTACAGCGGCGTAGCAGGACGTATTTGTGCAAGTGCAAGAGCACGTACAGCAGCGTAGCACAACGTATGTGTCCAAGTGCCAGAGAGCGTACAGCAGCGTAGCAGGACGTATTTGTGCAAGTGCAAGAGAACGTACAGCAGCGTAGCACAACGTATGTGTCCAAGTGCCAGAGAGCGTACAGTGGCGTAGCAGGACGTATTTGTGCAAGTGCAAGAGAGCGTACAGCAGCGTAGCACAACGTATGTGTCCAAGTGCAAGAGAGCGTACAGCAGCGTAGCAGGACGTATTTGTGCAAGTGCAAGAGAACGTACAGCAGCATAGCACAACGTATGTGTCCAAGTGCAAGAGAGCGTACAGCAGCGTAGCAGGACGTATTTGTGCAAGTGCAAGAGAACGTACAGCAGCGTAGCAGGACGTATTTGTGCAAGTGCAAGAGAGCATACAGGAAAAAACTGTTAAACAATGTTTATCTGCCCATCCCCCTACCCCACACCCGCGCCCCCCCCACCCTCCCAGAGCAGTCGAGGACCAACGCGGCAGGACAAGGGATGATGGTCGAATCAAGAGACGGTCAACAGAAACCAGTGGAAGTAGAGGAAGTAGAGAACCCATTGCAATGATTGAGGAATTAAGGGCACAATGTCAATCTCTTCAAGAAAAGATGACCCAGATGGAATTATATGCTGCATCACGGGATCAACTCATCAAGGATATCGAAGTCAAATTCACCTCCGGATACGTGTACGATGAATTCAACACCCTCAATCAACGATTGACGTATTCAACAAATGAAGTTGCTGAGTATCAAGCTGAACTCATGGTAGCTTCTCAAGAAGATGAGGGTGCAACAATTCGCATCGAAGAGCTCGAACGCCGAGGTGCTATTATGGAGATCGGAAGGACGAAGTGTCTCACCTTCGAGGACTATTGGGCAACACTGAGTCAAGGTTACAACAAATGCAATACAACAGTGATCTTGCCACGAATGTTGCCGAGAAGTTGTTTCAAGAAGGAAGGGCGATGCAAGCTGGTTTTGAGAATTCCATAGTGGAGTATCGTAATCAATCTGAACTGGCATCGTATTCTCATACTAATCTGGACATGGCCAATCAACAACGAACCTTCGAAGTTAAAGAGTTAATGAATGAGAATAGTATTATGAGTGAAGCATTAGTACATTCCCGCAAGCAAGCTGAGTTGTATGAGCACAGTATGGATCAGATCACTAGGGATTATAGAAAGAAGGTACATGAGGCAAATCAGGCCAAGATGGAAAGTGATCTGCGCCACCGAAACACTGAGCATGATACGATGAAGCGTTTTGAGGCCTACCGGAATGTTGAATCTGAGGCTATCGCTCGACTAAGGCTTGAATCCAGTCTAAGCATGAGCGCCAATAGCAGGATGGAACATTATGAGAAGCTCTACGAGAGTGAACACGCTCTGAACGAAGAGCTCCGGGCTGAGGTCAAGGACCGGGAAACGAAGTTGAGACGATCACTGAGAGAGGATCCTGCGGCCAACGGCCCAGGTCCCAATCGAGTTGCGATTGAATACCTCGAGAGTCAAACCAAGATCGCACAGATTACGGCCCAGGACCTTGTGGTGGAAGTCGGAGAATGCATGTCTGCCAATCTCAGGCTGAAAGAAGAATTGGCTGAAGTTCCGGAGTTGGGGCCCACGGCTCACTTTGGTTCTGAAGTTGCCATACTTAGGTCTGAATTGGAAAGTGAGCGAAAACTGAAATTGGCCAGTGGTGCTCAACAGTCTGAAAGGTCATGCGAGTATATGGGGGAACTTCGGGATAGGGATGAAAAGTAGCTGAAGTTAAAGAATTCCGAAATTCAGGACATGAAACGAAACATTGATGATTTGAGAAGGAGCCTAAAAGATGCAGAGATAATCATCAAAGCACAAGGGGATTCGAACCGACTCCCTTATTCCGCAGGTGTCCCTTCGACTGATCCTTCATCAAGATCGATCATTGAGGCATTGGAGAACGAAGTAAACGCGGCGAACACTGAGATGACTGTGCGGCATGTGCCTCGCTTGTGCACCTGAGAAATGTCTCGCTTGTGCACCTGGAAATCGTCTCGCTTGTGCACCTGAAAACTTCCACTTCTACCTCTACTTGCACCTCTCTTTCTACTTCCACTTCTACTTCGACTTCCACGTCTACATCTACCACCACCTTTATCTCTACTTCTACTTCTACTTACAATCCCACTTCTACTCCTACTTGCAACATGCGGCTTCTCCACGTCCCTTAAAACTTAAAAACAATATTTTCCATACTACTGAAAAAAATGGAACCAAAAAGTACAGTCCATAGATGTTCATAATTGTTTTTTTGTGGCAAGCATTGAACGGCTGGGTGTAGCAGCCACAATTTGTCTGGACATAGCATTTCAGAAGCCGGTGCCTGAACGCGGCCCGGGGAGAATTGTTTGGGAAATCAGGTGTTCGATATGTTTGAAACTCATCACATGTTTGAAACAACAAAGATACGGTTGGCAAAGTGCCATGTGTCAAGTTTTCTTGTACAAAACAGATTTTTTCTTTACCATGATGTGGGTTTGAAAAAAGACAATGGCATTGCAAGCTGATGCCCATTCCCCAAAAGCCTTGGTCCGCATCAGCCGCCGCGCAAGTGGCGGTGTCAATGCAGAAAAAACACCGGCGACAGGCACAAGTAGTCTGTGGCTTTTTGCAGGCCGATGGCAACACTGGCACAGTCGGAGAGGAAGTAGATATAGTACAGGTCGAGAAAAGTACAAATAGACCAACAAGTTTTTTTCATCATTCTATGTCATGGACAATTTGGTGATGGCCTGACACTGTCGGTTCAGGATGATGAATTGTTGTTCATATTACATAAATGCCTATGCGAAACGTGTAAAATTATAATAGCAATAAGCACTTATCCTGAAAGATCACTGCCTGTGTCAAGAAAGATGATGAGGTTGCTGTGCCTGTGGGTGCACGGGAACATGAACGTTATTATCCCACCCCACCCCACCCCACCCCACCCCACCCCACCGGTCACTTATCTTGAAAGATCACTGCCTGTGTCTGCAGGACAGCAAGAAAGATGATGAGGTTGCTGTGCCTGTGGGTGCACGGGTGCCTGTGGGTGCATGGGAACATGAACGTTATTATCCCACCCCACCCCACCCCACCGGTCACTTATCTTGAAAATCACTGCCTTGCCACAGGACAGCAGAAAATGATGAGGTTGCTGTGCCTGTGGGTGCACGGAACATGAACGTTATTATCCCCCCCCCCCCCCCCCCCCCAACCAACACCCCATCACTGCCTGTGTCTGCAGACACAAGAAGATGATAGGTTGCTGTGCCTGTGGGTGCACGGGCCAGAACTTATTATCCCCCACCCCACCCCCACATCAATGTATGGTCTGCAGGGAAAGCATAAAGATGATGAGGTTGCTGTCCTGTGGGTTGCACGGGAACATGACGTTATATCCCACCCCACCCCACCCCACCCCACCAACAATCACTGCCTTGCCTGCAGGACAGCAAGAAAGATGATGAGTCTGTGCCGTGGGGCACCATGCGTTATTATCCACCCCCACCCCACCCCCCCACCCCCCCCACCATCACTGCCTGTGTCTGCAGGACAGCAAGAAAGATGATGAGGTTGCTGTGCCTGTGGGTGCACGGGAACATGAACGTTATTATCCCACCCCACCCCACCCCACCCCACCCACCATCACTGCCTGTGTCTGCAGGACAGCAAGAAAGATGATGAGGTTGCTGTGCCTGTGGGTGCACGGGAACATGAACGTTATTATCCCACCCCACCCCACCCCACCGGTCACTTATCTTGAAAGATCACTGCCTGTGTCTGCAGGACAGCAAGAAAGATGATGAGGTTGCTGTGCCTGTGGGTGCACGGGAACATGAACGTTATTATCCCACCCCACCCCACCCCACCCCACCCCATCACTGCCTGTGTCTGCAGGACAGCAAGAAAGATGATGAGGTTGCTGTGCCTGTGGGTGCACGGGAACATGAACGTTATTATCCCACCCCACCCCACCCCACCATCACTGCCTGTGTCTGCAGGACAGCAAGAAAGATGATGAGGTTGCTGTGCCTGTGGGTGCACGGGAACATGAACGTTATTATCCCACCCCACCCCACCCCACCCCACCCAACCACCCCACCACACCTAGGTGCGCAAGTGAGTGATTTTCCAGGTGCGTAAGTGAGTGAATTTCTCAGGTGCGCAAGTGAGTGAATTTCCAGGTGCGCAAGTGAGTCACGTCCCTGACTGTGCTTAGGGCATGGAACCGGCAATTGGATGAGGCGCTGAATGAAGAGATGAACGCTGCCAACGCCGGCGATGTCCCTGATGAGCACCACCTCCCATCCTGTTGATGCTCATATGCAAAATAACAATACGGTAGGTGCTTTTCTATCAAATTATATCAAATCATTACATATATTACATGGGTATTCAAAGTTTAGCCAAAACCAGGCATTCCAAGTTTGCTTTCCTGCACGATCGCGGTGCCTTAGGCGCTTAAAGTCACCAAACATCGAAATTGGTTTCTGCCCATCCTAAGTTCCGGACCGTAGAGAAAGAGAGAGAGAGAGCGAGAGAGATATATATATATATATGTATATATATAATTATCTATTATATATAATTTTATGTATATACACACATATATATATATGTATTATATTTGCCACAAAGGACATTATGTGTTTTTTTCGAGGTATCGTTATTTAGATCGGCTTCTATATCTTCTATCCCCATAAGCTTCTCGTCTTCTCCCGGTGCGCTTGTAACTTCGCCAGATCCATGTGGGCACCATGGACTACATGGGCGGCTCGCATGAAGCTTATCGCAGAACGTCGGCTCCTGAGCCATGCGAATGGTGATTGGGAAAAACTGCAATGACAGGATGTTCCGGGGTCATGAAATCCAAATGTATACGCCATATGACCATATGTATTGATATGTCTTCTGTTTTTGCCTCCATTTGGGTGGGTTTTGGGGTCAATGCTGGTACATGTTCGGTAAATGCATGGATGGTTTTTTTTAGTTTTTTCTCTCCGAATCATGTAACTCACTGGCGTTCAAAACAATTTGCACAGTTTCGACTGAAGCGGACGGGGGGATTTGCCAACCAAGGGAGGAATTGTTTTCCGATGTTTCGCCAGTGGGGCTGTAATATTAATTGGGAGTATACGACGATCCTACGAGATGCCGCAAGCAGTCAAATCAGTCAACGGCATGCGGGTTTTTGTTCCACTTTCCATATATTTAAGGTGTTATTGACCCGAAACGACAAGAGCACTTTTGAAGATGGCTTTGAAAACACACAGCAAAAGAAAGATCTGATGTTTATCCATTTCTTTGCTGCTTAGCCGGCTTAGCCCATTCTGCTTTTCTTGCTTTACATGTCACACACTTAATTCTGACACATCCGGCGGACCTCCCTAGTTTGATTGGTGAAGGAAACCGGCCTCTTGGGTTTGGTACTCGAAAAAATGGAGGAAACTCCCGAAAATCATACATATATATATATGTAATATATACGTATATATATTAATTAATTAATTAATTAATTAATTAATTAATTAATTAATATATATATATATATGTACGTATGTACTATCATTTTTTGATTTAGCGCAGGCGTTTCAGGGTAAACCGCATTGGTTTTTGATTTACCCACACTGCACCTCAGTCTTCTGTTGTTTTGCAAGATTCACAAGTTATGCGGAACACCTAAAACCTCTTAAAACCTCTTAAAACATCTTAAAACCATAAAACCATACCCGACATTGCCATTTGGTTGGTCTTGAAACTCCTTGCCCCAAAAGGTGTGTATGACATTGATTTTTCCGCATCAAAGGGTTGTTCTTCAGTTTGGTTACTGACATGACATACCACAGTTTTTGTAGAACCACACATTTCGGGGTGCAGGCGCGGGCTTAATGTGTATAGCCGTGGTCATAGCCCTTTAAAATTGGGCAAATTAACCCTACAACAACGGTTAAAACCACAACTAGTTCACCTAGTTGACGGCACCCCCAAGTGGTGAGTGCACACCCGGCAAGTCAATGGATGGTGGCTTTAAAGGTTTGACCTCGAGATTTTGGTAAATAACATCACCCCTGAAAAGGTGTGTTGGTGGGTTTAGCACATTACCCTCTGGTAATTTGTTACATAGCGAACTGGAAAATGGCCCATAGAAATAGATGATTTTCCCACTAAAACCTCCATTTACAATGGATTTCCCATAGTTATGTTAGTTTACCAGAGGGTATTGATTGTAGTGTCCCCCATAAAATGAATTGCGAAGACCCCATCTATGGATGGTGAAGAATCACCATTTTTTTCAGACTAGAATGCCAGAAGGATGGGCGAAATCATCCCCATTTGTAAGCATTCCCTGTGAATGTGGACTCCTCCATTTAGACTGCTTGAATCACCCACATATAGATGGTTCAAAACTTCACCAATGGTATATGGCTTAAATCAGTTCAATCCCAACATTCCCAAGTATAAATGTCTTAAATAAATCAGTTAAAATTCCAAAACTCTATTTTAAGTCTTATGAATAGGTGGACACCCGTTTGGCCATGGCCCGAGGTTCGAGTTTATCGAGATGACGAACACCTGGTTTGACCTCGACACTCCGACCAGGGCCACTTGACAGCGGTCAAGCGGGGTTAGAATGTTTTGGGGATTTCATGGGATATTCCTGGGAAAGAAGGACATAGTGACATAGTATGGAAATAATAGGGAAGGCATCGGGAAATGATATGGAAATAATAGGGAAACAATGGGGCAATAGAGAAACAATCAGGAAAAATGTGAAGTACTCCGGAAATAACAAGAAAATAATAAGGACAAAATACCGAAATATTAATGAAATAATGGGGAACCAAAAAGTAAATAACTGGGAAATTATTGGGAAATAGTAGGAACATAACAGGAACATAATGGTAAAATAATGGGGGAAATCACAGGGAAATGATAGGGCAATCATATGAAAATAAGAGGGAAACCATTGGACATATCATGGAAAGAACAGGGAAATACTAGAGACACATATCATGGGAAATCATAACGAAATAATAAGGCAATCATAGGGAAATAATAGCGAAACAATAGAGAACTATTAGGGACATAATAGGGAAACACTACGACATAGTAAGGCAATAATAGGGAAATAAAAGGGACATAATTGCGAAAAAATGGGGACATGATAGGGAACCAGTCAATAATGGGAACATGATAGGAACTTGATAAGGAAACACTAGGGACATAATCGAGGAATAATAGGGAAAGAATAGGAACATTCTCAATATATAGATTTAAGTAGATTGAAATAGGGAAATGAGAGCGAGGCAAGAGAGAAAACATAGGGACATAGCAAGAACATAATAAGGGCATAATAGGGAAATAATAGGGAACTAATAAAGAAATAATACGGACATAAGAGGGAATTGATAGGGACGTAGTAGGATACTAATAGGGACCTGATAGGAAAAACATATTGAAAGAATAGGAAATCAATGGAAATGATTGGGAAACAATAGGAAAATAATACGGAAATAATAGGAACATAATAGGAAAAATGATAGGGCAACAATAAGGAACAAATAGGTAAACACTAGGGAAGTAATAGGGAAATGAGAGGGACATAGTAGGGAAATAATAGAGAAGTAAAAGGGAAATAATAGGGAAAACGTAAGGGAATAATGGAAAGATACTAGGGAATTGATGGGGAAAACATAGAGAAATTGCAGAGAAATAATGAGAACTTATATGGAAATAATAAGGTCATAGTAAATGATGGGGAAATAATTGGGAATTGATAGGGACATAATAGGGACATTGTGGTCACGCCCAAACCCGAGGTCAAGCGCAGCTGTTTTTGACCACAAGAGCGGTTCGGTGTAGCGGGCCGCTAGACTAAGCGAAAAGCACGGAGCCCTCTCATGTTGTCAAGTTCAAAAGTTGAGGAAGTCTCGCAGAATTGCTTCGTTTTCAAGCTTGCAGATAGACAGGTAGATAGATAGATGGATAGATGGATAGATAGAAAGATGGCTAGATAGACAGACAGGCAGATAGAGAGATAAACAGATAGACAGATAGATAGACAGATAGATAAACAGATATATAATATAGATAGACAGATAGGTAGACAACTGCAACTACACTACACTGCACTACACTACGACTACACTATGACTACAACTACAACTACATACAACTACGATTGCAACTACAACTACAACCACACTACAGCTTCAACTACAACTACAGCTAGAGCCACAGCTACAACTGAATCTCCTGCAACTACTACAATTACTACAATTACTACAAATACAATTTCAACCACACTACAACTACAACTACAACTACAACATTACAACTTCAACAACTTCAACAACATCAACTACACTCCAACTACAACTACACTACAGCTACAACTACAACTACAAGTACAAGTACAAGTACAACTGCAACTACAACTACAATTACATTGCACT